CCTGCCCCCCCTGCGGCAGCTTCCCCGGGAGCAGCGGCGCCCGCGGCAGGTGGGAGGCTCCGCGCCCAGCACCCCGGCTATTTAAAGGCAGGGTATTTTTACCCTGGGTTTCCCAGCAGTGGGATCAGCATTTCGTCCAGCCTGGCCTTTCCCGGAGGCTGCACACCCCCACAGGAGGGACACAGGAACCAGGGGGCCCTGGCCCACAGCACAGGCAGGCCCAACACTGCCCCTCTTGGCCATCCACCCCACCTTGAGCTTTGCCCAGGGCCCTTTCCCCACTTCCCAGACAGCAGAACTGACCATTCCGATTTTCCAAAGCTGGGGTGAAGGGCCCTGCAGAGGCTCTGCAGGGACATGGGGACACTGGGCACAGAGCAGCCTTCAGTGGTGGCAGAGCAGCACCAGGATTTGCTCACTGAGTCCCCCCCGTCCAAGGGGATCCACATCCTATGGAGCCGGCGCTGGAGCTTGGCTTTCCAAGTTAGGGAAAGCTCCAGCACCAACACAGCTCCATTCTGGGATCAGGCAAATGGGAGCAGAAATCAAGGATTTTGCTAAGGTTTTGCCCCATTTGCCCTGACCGAAGCCCAGTCCTTGCTCCAGTTTGCATTTTAGACACAGGTGTTTTTGTTTAGCCCTGTTATTAGCCCAGGAGAACCTGAATACTTAAATAGCAATTATAGAGCAAGAGTAATTAACCCGGAGACCGGAACGAACTCGTTCATAGCGGGGAAAAGGAGCCCACAAAACCCAGCAAATTTGTTCACCCAGGAGAAATCCTGCTGACACCGACCTGCACCCGAGCACAGCGGGGCCGAGGGGGTCAGGGCCTTCGGCACCCGCGTTGGCGTCGTTTCTTCCTCCCGCTCGACTGTAAAAGACCCCAGAAGCACCAGAGAAGTCTCGGGGATGAATCCCATAAATCACCACAGAGTGACCCAAGCACAACAAACCACAGCGGACACAGCCACCTGTGTGAACTATACAGGAAGAACATTTATTCCATGGCAACGCTTGTAAAAGGAACCTCTTCCGAGTGCGATGATTTCACATACAAATGGAAGCCACCACACGTTCTGCTTTCCGTCTGCCTGCGCTGAGCTCAGATCTGTACAATGTGAATGCTTGCTTCCGAAACAAAATTACAAATTAAATCATAACAAAATACACAAAATTGACTGGACCCTAAGTTTAAATTACTGAAAGAATTCTTCTTTCCTCTGATCACCTTGAGCTTCGCTCTTCCCTGTTGTTATCCTCTTCCTTCTTCTTGGCCATGAATTTCTGCAGAAATAAGTGTTTTAAGAAGTCTTATTGGAAAGTTCATGAAAGGATACTATGGGATTATTCCTCATGGCACGATATAATCATTAACGGGCAATGAAGCAAAGGGGTTTTGAAGCTTCATGCTCCCCTCCACGCCCGGCGTGCCCAAGCCTTACCTCCATATTCTGCTGGTGAAGCGCTGTCCTGCAGTGGTTTCTCACAGATATTTCATCTGCATAGAACAGAGAACAGATCTGACAGAAAAAGCCAGGCTTCGGAACAAGGAAATCCAAATCTGAGAGAGAGAGCACACAACAGCTCGTTAACAAAGTGCAATTAAACAAACACCCACCAGATCCCACCAGCCCAATTAACACTCTGTTAATGCAGGTTAATTACAGCACTCTGGAAGTCAGAGCCACACTGGTCACCTGCACCCACCAGACGGGGACACCCTGCTCTTCAGCCAGAGCAAATGACAGCCGGAATCTGAGATCCCCTGCAACACCTCAGTGCCTTTGTGCCTTAAAGCACTACCCATATAATCCATGTGCCAGGTTTGGTCTTTGTCCCACAGCGGGACATCTGAGCACCTTCCATCACACAGAGCCTCACGTGAGCATCAGCAAGGGGGAGTTCTTCCAGCAACCTCTCTTACACCTCAAGGACCATCTTTATATAAAGTGCATTGGGCGAGCATATTGGGAAGTGTATTGTCAAAATGAAATAAGCACCTTCTTAATTTCTATTGAGACAAAGTTGGCAACAAAGCTTACACTGTGTTTAGAATAATAAGGAGATATTGTACTATATTGTGCTGATTATGTAATCATCTATTTTTAATTAAATAATTAAAAATAAATAATTAAAAAATGATTTTTAAAAACTTTGCTGCTATTAAACCAGCAATAGGAATGTATGCTAGACTCAGGTTTGTAAAGATAAAAATATGGATTGCACACTATGGATTTTTAACTATGTGTGGTTGTAGGAGGCATTTTTAATGGGCCAGACAACCGTTTCTCCCAAGAGCAGCACAGTGTTTGCGGGGGCGTTTTGGCTTTACCTTTTGGAGCACTCTGCGTCCTCGGCGTGCCCGAAGATTCCGTTTTCTTTCGCTTAGACTCGGGTTCCTTTTCTCCTGATCCAAGCGGATCTACTGGAGGCCACAAATGCACGTTAAAACATGGATTTCTACTCACTCAGTGCTGTTCCATACTGATTAATTAGCACTCAAAGCAAACCCTATGTGCATGACCCCCGCTGCTCCCCGCACCGCGTGGTCTGGCCGTTCCGTACAGTGATTTTCAGGAGCTTCTCTCATCAGCCCAGCAGACAAACCTGCCGGGGACACCCAGGTCCAAAGGCTGCTCCAGGACTCCCGGGCAGCACGGCATCGTTCTGGAGGTGTCGGCGCCGCACTTCCTGCTGGCTTCCCAAGGATCTCACACCACGATTACCGGGATCACAATGAAAACCATCCCAATCTCATCACAAAATGAGCTCCCGAGTTTTCTTGACTTAACCCTGCCTCAAGAGTAGTATTTCAGCTCATGCCCAACAGAAAATAAGCTCTTGCTTTAAAACACAGGCTCTGGCAGCACAGCACTTAGTGAGTTGTTGCACCATGAAGTAACCTCACAACTAAGACATGCATCTTCTCTCTGCTACAGTGTGTCAGCAAATACAGTGCTTGTGTGACAGCCTGCAGAGGCTTTTATTACCAAATTCCGCTTCCTCGTTAAGGTAATTGCAGATTGATGAGTTTAGAGAACACTGAAGGGGTTTAAAGGCAGGAAAAAAGCCCCCCCATGGCAGCCAGCTCCCTCAAACAGGCAAGCCCAGCTTCTTTGCAGAACCACACCAAGCCAGAGCACGTCCCGGGATCGGGCAGCTCCGAGGCAGCACCAAAACTGCTGCTTCACAGATTTGTGCAGACCAGGAGTTTCACAGTGGCCTTTGCTGTAGGATAAGGAATGCACCCTGGGTGTGGGAAAGGGCAGGTTGGGTTTTAGGCTACCAGAGCAGTCCAGCTGGATGCTGGAGACACACAAATACACACAGAAAAGCTGTTCTCTTTCTAATCTTGTGTTTAAATAACCTTGATACCAATCATCTCCTAAACAAGGTTAATAAAGTAAAACCTTTTGCCTTATTGATGAGAGTCAGGGGCTTGTCAAAGGCACCAAGCAGGCAGCATTGGGCTCTCTCCTCTCCTAGAGCATCTCCTGCAGCAGGCAGGGGCCAGGGCTGCCCTGGCAAAGCTGCACTTTGACTGCCACCACCTGAACCCTTAGTCCAAGGCACCACTTCCCACTTTGCTCTTTCAATCAGATGTTGCCTCCTAATAGAGACAATAATGCTTTAATTTCTCTTCCCCAGTTTTCTCACTCTGCTTCTCCAATTCAGGAAGAATTAGTTTTACCTGGATCTCTCTCTTGGCTTGAGATTTTTACTACACAGAAGAACTAGGTTCATTCATTTTCTGTGTATCAAAATTAGAGATCAAAGCACTTGACAACCTTGAGAGGTTCCTTTACAGAAACTGAAGTTCAAACACTTGCAGACAGAGGTTGGTGGCCTCAGACCCATCTTAAACCTTCCGAGTTCCACCCTGTAGAAATTTTTCTACATTTTTTCTCCAGACCCAGCTTGGAGGCTGTTGCCTCTTTGCGTCTGTGTGTCTCTTATTTGGCATATTTGTTTTTAATGAAGTTTTCTTCAACTACGGCCAACACAGACATGGGGAAAAATGCAAACATGTCTCTTATTTTTTACATCAAAAGAAAGATGCATTCTAGCACGCATTAGTCAAACAGATCCTACCTTCAAGCTGCCGTTTGCTGGCAGTCTCTGTTTCTTTTCTAGTATCTCTGTCAATAACTTTGTCAGAAATGTCATGTTTTCCAGTTTCCCCTTTTCTTGCTGCAGGGATCTTTTTGCCCATCTCCTGTCCACCTGCTGCAAGCATCTTACTTTCAACTTCTCCACTGGAACCTGCTGGAGATTCCCTTCCTTTTGACTTTGAGATTGCAATAATTTCTTCTTCTGGGCTCATATCTCCTAGAATTTCCATTTCTTCTGGTCCTGCCACAGCAACAATATCTTCCTCTTCCGTTCCCACAGTGGCAGCAATATCCTCCTCTTCGGGGCCTGCAACAGCAACAATATCTTCATCTTCATCCTCACCCAGATTTTTCTCCGTGAAGGAGTCTTCTTCCTCATCCTCCTCTCCAACTTCATCCACTGTAACAAAGTTTAGCTCCTCTTTTAGGCAATTGAAATCTGCCAGAAAATCATCTTCATCGTCATTGACTTCATCTAGCGTCACTAGCGGGGCATCTTCATTGTCCTCCTGTATTTCATCTACCGTCACCAAAGCACTGGGATCATCAGGCACCTGAGAGGAAACAAAATCTCCACAGTCTTTGTCATCCTCCTTCTGCTTCCCTGCATTGTCACTATTTAAATCCGCAGGCTCGTTTAAAGGCAGCTCTTCCACCTCACCTATTTCATCTACAGTTACTAGGGGCTCTGCTTTCAGGTCTGGCTCCTCAAAATCTGCCCCAGGGGCATCTTTATGGAAAGCAGGGTCTTCCTGCTCGGAAATCTCATCCAGAGTGAGGAGCGACTGCGGATCCTTCACTGCTTCCGCCAGGAGCTCCTCCTCCTCGGTGACTTCATCCACCACGACCAGGCCCTGGGGATCCGGGAGCGCGTCCAGAGGAGCAGCCCCCAGGAGCTGCGCGGCCACGTCCTCCTCCTCCCCAACCTCATCCAAGGTGACGAAGGAGAGCTCGCTCTCGGCAGCGCGGCTCACGCAGCTCTTGCCTTTCCTCCGTTTGCAGCTCGGCTCCGAGGAGGTCGTTTTAGGAGTGTCTCTTCTCTTGCCCCGCGGGGGATTTCTCCGAGTCCGCACGGGAGACTCGATTTCCTCGATTACTTCGTCCACAGTAACAAACTCATCCAGATTGAAGGGGAAAAGCTCTTCTTCCTAGGAAATGTGAAAACAGAAATTGAACAAAGTCCACCCAGTGACACAGGCACCCCAACTGCAGGGTGAAAAATAGCTGCCAACTGCAACCAACTGAAGGGAAAAACCCCCAAAATACAGAATTCAAAAATCCAGAGCATTTCTCAGAAACACAATTGGGTGAACAGACCAAAACAGTATGTTCTTACTAAATCCCAGGCCAACAACCTGAACACTCATGGATATTTTCACATAGACCTGCAAGAAGATTAGTGAAAAATCTGAATACTCAAGAGTACCCTTGGAAAACGCTGGTACCTTCTTGCCACATCCCATACCTCTTCCCTAAGTACGTGCCGGTGGCCACTGCTTCAGAAGAGGATGCTGTATTACAGGGCTGGAGCCAGTAACATCCATCTCATACCAGCTCCTGCCCATCCACAGCTGAGTAACCTTCTGAGCACAGTTAAGCTCTCTCTATTTATGAGTCCTCTGTTTACTCTTCTTTCACCAATTTGTCTTTTACTTGGCTATAAAAATTGGAAATTCATCTGGCTACAAATCTTTAGCCTTATGACTTCATCCCCCCTCATCCTCCCACCTCCCCAGGACCCCCTCCTTCCTCCTTTCCTGCCTGAGGATTCCCGATCTGTTCGGTCACTCCTCGCTCGGAGCGACTCTGAGGCACTCGGGGACGGTTTCTGTGGGAATCCCCATCCACTCGCCCTACATTGAAGGTCCACCTGTCTCCATCACTCAGCTCCTATCCATCCCCAGATCCTCCTGCAATTCTGCCGTGTTACTGCCTTAAATAAATCACTCACTATTTGCCCCCCTCTCACGTTAGTCACATATTCAACCACAAAGGTGCAGATTCCCCTCCACCTTGCTTCAGTGCTCACAAATTCCAAGTTTCCTATCAAATAGCCAAGCATTCAGTTTGAGGACACTCCTTATTATCCTAGGACAGCTTTGCTTCTTTAAAAGCCTTTGGGGGAAGACTTCTTATGAAATTCTCTGGAAAATTGTATGAATCTGGTCCCTCTTACCCATAGAGCTGCTGGTTTCTTCAATAAATAAAAGAATAAACAAATACATCTCTCCGCAATTTCCCTTCACAAAAGCCACACTGGTACCAATACTCCCCCTTCATCCACGTGCCCATCCATTGCAAAATGGCTCTGCTCCTACACTTGGAATGGCAGGACAAGGTGGGAAAGGAGAGCTGGACAGATCTACTCATAAACTAACATTAGGCAGTAATATATAAAAACATACAAACATGTATGTTTATAACATATATGTAATAAAAAGTAGCATATAAAAACCCATTCCACACCCCCAGATTACGTTTTCAGTCTGTTCACTGAGTGATGCTGAATTTTTTTTAAATCATTCTATCCTGCTAAAGTCTTGCGTGTGGAACACAGGCAAGCTGAAAACCAAAGACAACCAAAAAGAAAATAAAACATTTGCTCACACAAAACTTTAAGGTCAAGATGAGCTGAACTTTGTCAGCGAATCAGACTGTGCACTTAAAGGCACTAAAACCAATCCACCGGCACAGAAAAATATGAATCTGACATCCAAAGGCTACATGCCTTCTTTCTTCTGTTTTTCACAAGCTAACAAATACTGGGAAGAATACATATCTCAATGTACGTTCTAATGGAGAAGGTTCAAAAATATTTAATGCAAGGTGGGCACAGCATAATATCCATGAAGAAAACATGACAAAACACATGTTTACATTTTTAACTTCAAATGTTACTGTATTCTTTCTTCCACAAAAGGAAGGTGACGCTAAAAGTTTTCACGGATTTAGATTTACAGAGGAGCCCAGGTTGTCCGTTCCCACTCAGGAAGCCCTTTCTCATTCCTGGCCTGGGGGATCTTGGATTTGATGCTGTAATCCCACTCGTCAGCATGGATTTCCATTACTGTCTTCCTGCTTTTCTTTCTCCAAACCCGAGGCACCGAAGAGAGAGTACAAATGTGGGGCTTCTCTTTTCAAAAATCAGGCTCTTTGGGGCCTGAAACTGCAGGTTCCCAAGCTCTTATTCAACTAACAGTGCAACAAAAACAGGCAGTGATCTTTGTTCTGTAGAAAAACCCACTGGAATTAACACTGTGTGGAAGGGCCCCTGTGGATGGAGAGGTTCTGACTACCTTCTGCTACCCAAACCTGTTTATAAAGAGCTAAATGACTTTCCTTCCTTTTGTCAAAGAACAGAATGGTGAATAAAGATCAGCTGGCACCTGAGAATCCAGGAAATCGTTCTCTCCTAAGCAGTTCAATAAGCAAGTCCCTAAAATCTCTTTTTGTGTTCCTAAAGGGAGTTTCTCTTCCAAATTACTTGCCTTTACAGCTTTTTCTGCCAGTACTCTCTAACAATCAATGTTATTAGAACTCCTTGGGCAGGAGGCTAAAGCTTCTTTGCCCACACAGACACACACGCATGCAGTCTGTATTACAACCTCAATTACAGTTAGACACTTACCTCCTTCTGCTTCGCACTGCTGCTCCCGCTGCTCTTTGAAGTTCTAGCACTCCCACCAACAGAACTCTGCAAAATTAGACAAAAGATTGCATGAAACTAGTTAGGCCAACTAACCTGTTGAAGGTTAGAGGCAGCAATGTCTCCCCTCAATGAACTTTTCTAAATTGTCCAAACTGCTGCTTCTGATCCCATGCTGGGCAAAGGCAGCACTAAGGCAATAGCAGTGGTGACGTCCAGGCATAGAGGCTCTAGCAACAAGTCTCAGGCAGGAGCTTGCTCAGAACCTCTTCTCCTTTCGGTAGCCAGTGTCTGTGCAGGACTTGTCAGGGCAAGGTCAGCTCACAGAAGGACAGAGTTTAGCATTTCCCATCCACAACTAAAGCGAGGACGTAACGTTACGGCGCTCAGCACAGCCTCGCTGCAGCAGCGCCCGCCTGCCCTTCAGGGCTGGAGTTGCACACAGGGCACCTCCGAGCACCTGGCTCCCGCTACTGCCACTCGGCTGCTGCCCACACCAGCTCAGAGACTTACGGACAAGGGATGGGGAATGTCACCTTATTGTCCCACGGTCAAAATCTGAGAGAAGCATCAAGTTAGTTACTGCTCAGCCACACGGAACCGGCCTTGCTGCCCTCCTCACCTTGTTGCTGCTGCTGTCTTTCTTCATGCTGGATGATCTACTCTCTCTGTCTTGAGACTGCTTTGAACTAGCCCTAGATTCCACTCGTGAGACCTTCTCCTGCTGAGACGGATTCCTCCCATCGCCTCCCTTCTCATCACCAGGAGCACTTCTGGTCACTTTAGCTTTGCCGCTGCCATCCGACAGACTTGATTTGTTGCCACCAGGTCGCGGGGGACCCACCTGTCTTGACATGACTCTCTTCTCCGCAGCGCCTTGGCTTCGGGGCTCAGCTTTCCAGAACACCTTTTGCTCTTCTCCTTTGCACAGGCAAGTCTCATTTCTCCGTACCAGGACCCTCGCCCTTGATATATCAGGAAGAGACACCACTGCCTTTAGAAACGTTTTACTAACAGAGGAAGATTCCTTGACAGGTAAAGATGAGCTTAACGGAACTGCTTTGTGGGCGTCACCAGCTTTTCCTGGTTCTATTCCTTTATTCTGATGTGCTTTGATTAAACTTCCCTCATTGTTTTCATTCACGGTTTTTTCAGCATTTTCAACATCTGCCCCAACCTCGGCCACAGATCTCTCAAGTTTCCTCTCTGCCTCTATCCCAGGCTTGGTCGAAGGCTTTGCAGGTTTCTCCTCAGCAGCTGCTCCAACCCTGAGCACAGGCTCTTCCCATTCCATCTCCCACTCATCCCCAGCTCCATGCGGTTCCTTCCCCAAGGCTCTTGCAGCTTTAGGCACAAGTTTTTTTTCTGTCATCGTCCCACTGTGAGTCCCAAGCAGCTCCGTTTCAGTTCTCCCTGCGCCAGCAGCAGGATTTCTCTCTGGGATGTCCAGCGTGTCATTGTGTTGAGCATCACCAGGCGGGACCCTGTGCCGAGGGGCTGCGGCCGGGCTGGGGGGCAGTGCTCCCGTGGGAGCCATCCCGAGGGCAGCGCCCGCTCCCGCAGCCAGCTCCGCAGCTCTCGCTCCCGTCTCTGCCGCCGCAGATGCACCGGCATGTTGGAGCGACTCTGCTCCGGCGCTGTCTGTAACAGCCTCTTCCTTCCGAGCACTCGGAGGCAGCTGCATCTCTTCCGAATCCTCTTCGAGGAGCTCAGGAGCGGCTGGTTTTGGAGAGGCAGCAGCAGCTTCTTCCCTGCCCTCAT